CTCACACTCCAGCATGTTGTGGATTACAGTAAAACCATTGTCTTTCTTAATATAAAATTTATTTTATTTTATTTTTTTTTAGTCTATTGAGGCATTTTATTTTTAAGTATATATTGTATCCCTTGAAAAAGAATTCCAGGACTTTCTCTCCTGTGTGTTTTCTTCTTGTTTCTTCATGGTCTGTGATACCAGCTGAAGTTGTCAGTACAATGAAACCAAACTGGTAGGATGGGAGCAGATTATTCTGCCTTTTTTTGAGATCTTCGAATTGCATATCAAATCTGGGGCTGATTATTTCACACTTATTTAGCCTGCCTGTGAGGTTCACAGCAATTTTCTCAGCTCTGTGATCAATGATGACTTCGTATTTCCATTGTAACCACGTTTTATTATCACAGTTAGAAACCAGATAATGATTGGAGCATGGTCTTATAGGAACCTGGCATTTGCCTCTCTTTTTGGCATTGTGGATGCTCTTAAGAGCCTCAGCCAGGACATTCATGTATACCCTTATGGCAGCATGGAAAGATGGTGGAAAGAGTATTTCTGTATTTTGAATTTGGGGTTGCTGGGTATGATTGGGAGCCTTTGTTTTATTTATTTATTTCTCTCTAGATCAGTGGTTTTCAACCTTCCTAATGCTGTGACCCTTTAATACAGTTCCTCATGTTGTGGTGACCCCTAACCATAAAATTATTTTCATTGCTACTCGTAACTGTAATTTTGTTACTGTTGTGAATCATAACGTAAGTATCTGATAATGCAGGATGTATTTAGGCGACCCCTATGAAAGGGTCGTTCAATCCCCAAAGGGGTTACAACCCACAGGTTGAGAACCGCTGCTCTAGATTCATTCACCTCTGTAAGACGAATTAGATTAGATGGTGGCATTTTGGGTTTCCCACTTGATAATGATATGGAGGATATAAAACGCAGATGTAGCACAGAGTTAGCAGTCAGCCTGGTTCAGAGGCTCCCTAAGACCCTGACTTTTCCTACTATGCAGCTCTGGAAGTAGCCTCTTTTCAGTCTCTTTCTACAAGGGAAGAGGTCAGTGAAATCCCCTGTCTTACTCCATAGGAACTGACTTTTCAGCTACCACTCCTGTTTCTAAATCTTTTTTTTTTTCGTTGTTGTTGAGATAGAGTCTCACTATGTTGCCCTTGGTAGAGTGCTGTTTTATCACAGCTCATGGCAACCTCAAACTCTTGGGCTTAAGTGATTTGATTCTCTTGCCTCAGTCTCCTGAGTAGCTGGGACTACAGGCACCCACCACAACGTCCAGCTATTTTTTTGTTGCAGTTGTCATTGCTGTTTAGCTGGCCTGGGCCAGGTTAGAACCTGCCAGCCTGGGTGTATGTGGTTGGCGCCCTACCGCAGAGCTATGGGCGCTACTCTGCTTCTAAATCTTTAACCCAGAGGCTCTCTGGTATCAACACTCTTAATGCTTGGCATTTCTATTCAGTTTTACCCAGATGATTATTTTATTTTTGAACTGAAATAGTTTTGGGATTTCTCTTTGTAATATTTTGGGCACTGTGCACATGTGTTGTATGTGGGTGGGGGTTTCTTGTCAAAATGGAGACCCACCTGTTTCATCTCTATCAGAAATTCAGTTGAAACTCTTTAAAACTCGATTTTCTCATAATAATAGATAATTTTAGGAAAACCTATCAAGAACTTATTGAATGCATTATAAGAATTAACTTATTTATAGTTCCCCCAAACCTTCATTTTATGGAAAAGAAAAGTGAGAAATGGAAAAGTTTAGTAACTTGCCTTGGATCATGTAGCTATTAGGTGTTAGAGAACGGATGCTAAGCCGGATAAAACAACTTCATAGTCTGTGTTCCTAATCACAACGATATACTCTCTCTTATCTATCAGTTGGGAAAAATAATACTTTCTTACAGGAACTGCAAGGATGAAGTAAGATAAGATGTGTAAAGCCTGATGTCAAACTTGATGTCATACCGGACATATAAAGGCATTCAGTAAATATTTGTTTTTCTTTCTTTTGTGGCGAGCAGATACATTTCCAATATGATGATTTAAACAAAATATGTAATGAGGTTTTGTTTAAGATACGTAATGGTATATTTTATTTTAGTAAAAAGGTTAGGAGTTCCATTATTGGACTAAATTCTCTTATATGGCTCTGAGGATAGGAGTTGGAAGAGCTACAGAACTAAAAAGCAAGGGAATTAGGAATGGGATCCAGTGGCAAAGTCCAAATTGGAAACCAGGGAGTTAAAGAATTCTGCAGAAAAGCGGGTTGCATCTGGGGAATTTCAGAGCAGAACAAGAGGTTTGGATTGGGTGGAAGGAGCTTTTCCATCCTGAATTTCCTGGGTCCTTGGCAATGGCCAGAGAGATCTCTATTGACCGGTCTTGGCTGCTTGATCACAAAAATCCTCATCGCGTTATCCATTTGGTTGCAGTACATATCTGCTGTGATCAACAGGTTTCATGAAGCTGTAGTGGATAATACCAGTGCTGGATCACCAAACAGGCACTATTAGTTTTTTTGATGAATATTCATTTTGGACTGTGTTCAGCACTTCACCTTTATCTAACTATTTTGCTGAATGCTTGGCAGTTGTCAAAAAGTATCCATTTTTCATCACACATAACAATATGGTATAGAAGTAGTTCACCTTTCTGTGGGGACAGCAAAGAGAGGTGAGCTTGGAGATGATTTCTCTTCTAGTGTTTATTTAGTTCATGCAGAACCCAGCTTCTTTACCTTGCAGATTTGTTTCATGGTCCAGTTTTGTTGGATTAGTAACATCAAACCTTGCTGCTACTTCAGCAGGTTTGGATTCACCTTCTACACTACGTCTTTCAGCTTGTCATTATCCACGCTGGTCTCAGGTTAAAGTCCCTGGAACAGAACTTCTCAGCCCCCTGCTGTACTTGTGCATTCATTAGCCACATTCTTCCCAAAGACTTTGCTGAAATTTTGAGCTGTCTGTACTGCATTGGTTCTGTGACTCTTATTCAGAATTAACACAATTTTTTGACTTATCCATGGTTTCACAAAATTGTTCTCAAAAAAATTTTTGAGAGATAATCATAAGCCAAAACATGTATTTGAAAGAATGAGGATATATTTTCACAAGTTGAAAAAAATAGTGTTAAAGGGAAATGTCAGAGATAATCAATGTCAAATATAGTACTGAAGGAAGCGGACATTTCTTAATAACCTAATATTGTGTGTGTGTGTATACATACATATGTGTATAATGTATAACACACATACATATACATATGTATATATATTCATATATATGTATGTGTATATACATATATATATATGAAAGACTATTACAGTTGAATTTGAATTGTTACTTGGAATGCTTATTTAGAAACTAAAATTGTCAGTTTTATGCCAAACTAGAATGAAGAAAAAGAAAATCCCAAATGTGTCTCCAAACAGTTTTATTCTCACTACAAATTGGAAATCAGTGTTGTTGTGTGCAGAATGTCTTCCTCAATTTTAAAAAGAGCATATTTCCTATGGTCTTTATTTTTTAATTTTCATATGTTAATTTTAGTTAAATCTAGGTACTTTCCTCTTAAGATCATTGTGTCTGCCTCTCACTGAATTTGCTGTTTCTTGGGATAATGTTATATAATCTAGTAGGGCATAATTTTTTGTTTTCCTTGAGACAGAGTCTTTCTATGTCACACTTGGTATAGTGCTGTGGCTTCACAGCTCACAGCAACCTCAAACTCTTGCCGTTAAGCGATTCTCTTGCCTCAGTCTCCCAAGTACCTGGGACTATGCCTGGCTATTTTTTTTGTTGTGCAGTTGTCATTGTTGTTCGAAACCCCCCCCGCCCCCCAGCTGCTGAGCTACAGGCCCTGAGCCAAGTAGGGCATAATTTTAAAAGTTAAAAAAAAAAAATTAAATGTTCTTAAGTACTCCATGATAAAACATAATGTAATAGAACGGAAACTCACTGGTGTAATGTTCAAATAACCTCAGAATATTTATGCTTCTTCCCAGATAACCTGCCTTCTTAATTTTTCACAGGATCTAGTTGAAAATTTTAATTTGTGGTAGACTGCATTTTGAGAGAGAAGAATGATTACTAAAATTTAGTTTAAAAATGTCTACTTTGAATATGTATGATCCTCCAAAAATATAGAACATAAATTATAGTAAACTACAAAGATATATATTCTTTTTGATGAAAATCTTGAGTCTTATAAAACATCTGTGAGAGCTGGATCATGGATCATCCTTCTTTGAAACGTTATTATTTTTTTTTTTTGAGACACAAGATCTTGTTTATTGCCCAGCCTAAAGCGCAGTGGTGTCATCAGTGCAACCTCAAACTCCTGAGTCAAGGGGTCCTTCTGCCTCAGCCTCCTGAGTAGCTGGTACTACAAGCTACAAACTACACACCGTCATGCTCAGCTGATTTTTCTATGTGGTCTTGCTATGTTGCTCAGGCTGGTCTTGAACTCCTGGCCTTAAAGGGTCCTCCCACCTTGTCTTCGCAAGTGCTATGATCACAAGTGTGAGCCACAGTGACCAGCCCTTTAGAACATTTTGGGTGTAAGAGCACAGTAGCAAGTTTGCGAACTTAATTGTCAGACCTCAAAGTAGGTGTAAGAAATAGAATGTATAATAGCTTTAGATCCTAATAGCCATAATAAAGAGGAACGTAGGTAAAAAGTATAACTGAAATATTCTCTAGTTTTACCCCTTTCCCAATGGAATGATATTTATTATGTTCTAAAAGTGTTAATGTATGTCAATAGTTTATACTTTTACCTTTTTACAAATTTCATTTCATATGTATATATTTTTGTATTTCAAAACAATAAGGGGCACATATACTTTTGTCACATGGATATCTTGGGTAAGTCAGGGCTTTTAGTGTACCCATCACTGGAACAGTGTTCATTGTACCCTTAACCCTCTCCCACTTGTTTTCACCTTTTAATAGTTGATAATTTCAAATGTTTGCTTATATATTGCCTTCTAGGTGCCCTAATGTGAGTCTGCAAAAACTGCCAGAACAGTGGTTATGGAATGTTTTAGAGGAAATTAAATGCAGTGATCCTTCATCTAAACTCTGTGCTACGAGGCGCAGTGCTGGAATTCCTTTCTACATACAGGTGCTTATCTATAGGACCTTGGCTGTTTGTTTATTTATCTTTCAATAATAGTGTGTTCTGACCCTTTGACATGTGAGTAAGCATATTGCATAAGGGACATGTCTGTATTTTCAGTACCAGAGCATTTGTGGCTTTGTTTTGATGTGGGGACATTGTGTACCTGTGCTAGATCTTTTCTTGGAACAGACTTGCTAAGCAGTCAATCTTGTAATATAAACAGAGGGTGGTATAGATTTCTGCGTGTGTGTTGTCGGCAGACCTCACTTTGGCACATTTGTTGCTCATTTCCAGGAAGTGCACATGTTGCCCTTTGTTTTAATGAAATTGCAAAAAAAGGTCTTCCTTTCATCTCAAGACTCTGAATACTCTCTGTAGGCAGCTATTGTTAACAATTTATTTTTAAACTTTTCATTAAATGTCTATCCATAAAATAATTATAATCATAGTAGTAGCTAACAGTTATTAGTTCTTATTTCACATATATTACCTCATTAAATCTTTCCCCAAACCCTATGAAATAGGTACTGTTATCTTCCCTGTATTCTAGGTGAAGAAACTGGGGCTTCGAAAAATTAAATGATTTGCCAAAGGCCACAGAGATAGTAAAAACTGAACTAAGACTTGAGCCCAGGCCACCTGACTCCTGAACCTCTATGCATATGAGAATGTGTGTGTAAGAGTATATTTTCCTTTTGAACATGGATGAAAGTAGGTGTATTATATATACTATTTGTCACTTGACTTCACTCAATATTGTACCTTAAAAGATTGCTCCATATTAGCACACGCAGATATTATTATTGATCAAAAAATATTTATTTTCATGCCTTGGACAACCGCTAACCTGACTGTATCTCTATAGATTTTCCCATTCTGGACATTTCGTTTAAATGGGATCATATAATATATGATCTTTTGTCTGGCTTCTTTCACTTGGATGTGTTCAGGGTTTGTTCTTGTTTAGTATGTATTCGTTACTTTTTATTGCCAGAAGTGGTTTGATATCCTATTTTTATGTTTATTGGGTATTGATAAAGTGTTAGAAACAAAGTAAATAAGCATCTCCTGGAAAATTCAAATATAGGGTCCCTTTGAAGTTTGTAGTATTTCTTTTTGTCTTGTGGGGTTCCAAATGCTATGATTTGGTTAGTCTCCCACTGTGAAGAATTAATTAATTGCCCAATCTCCAAGGAGTCTCAAAATTCTTACAAGAAATTTAATCTAGAAGGTTTTTGTTTGTTTTTAAATAAAAGAGAATTTTCTCGTTGGATCAGTGTGTTACTAAAACTGACTTTGTTGCATCTCTCAGCCTCTTAGAATTATACAATTAACCAGCAAACTGGAAGTGCCCTTAATGGCAACGTGATTTCCCCTTCATCTAACTTTACAGATGAGGAATCTCAGGGATGGCAAGGCTAAACTACTGCCCAAGGTCACATGGCTTTCTTACCTTGCCCTGATAGCCTGTTTTTATGAAGGGGATTTCGAATTTTAAGATTGATTCAGCAAATGAGCATATGTAAAATAAGAGCTCTGTTAATTTTTGTCTTGTTTTTCCATAGGCACTGTTGGCATCTGAACCAAAGAAAGGCAAAATGGATTTGTTGAAAATAACTATGAAAGAGTTGATTTCTTTGGCTGGACCCACAGGTGACTCACAGAGCACAGTCCCTCAGGTAATAATGGAAATACACAAACTTTGTTAGGAAGATAGTATTTATTTTTTTTTTGAGATAAAGTCTCACTCTGTTGCCCTGGATAGATTGCCACGTTGTCACACCTCAAACTCTTGGGCTTAAATGATTCTGTTGCCTCAGTCCTCTGAGTAGCTGGGACTATAGGCACCTACCACAGTGCTCAGCTAGTTTTTTCTATTTTTAGTAGAGACAGGGTCTCTCTTTTGCTCAGGTGGGTCTCAAACTCCTGAGCTCAGGCTATCCACTTGCCTCAGCCTCCCAGAGTGCTAGGATGACAGGAGTGAGCCACCATACCTCGACAAGGAAGGTAGTTTTTAAAAATCTTTGCTGTATTAAAACAAAAATTATATATATATGTATGAAGATTGCACAAATATCTGTAGCTTGTTTTAATAGGTTTTTCTTTTTTCTCATAGAATAAACCATTGCTTTATTTGATATATATTAATCAAAAATGAACTATTTTAAAACTCTGGTGGAAAAATCCCACTTTTATTATGTGATATTACTAATGTATTTAAAAATTTAAAAATGAATATGCCATCAATTTAGAATTTCCCGTGGGCTTCTTTGAATTAATGTACATATTGTAATTTAGTAGTTGAATTTTTCCTTTAAATGTAGTATCTAACTTTTGGTATATTTACACTTTAAGTTAGCTAATATTCATTCCCTTTTAGTAACTACCCGTGTGTATGAAATTGGGTTAAGCACTCCTTACAACTCTTCCACTGCAAGGGGATAAATACTTGTCACATATTGCTTGATGGTATTGTTTGGGCTTCCTCAGTAACACTTCATATCAGGATGCTTCTATCCTTGGCTATACGTATTTCCTTGCTTGCCTATAAAAATTTTAGAATCAGCCTTGTTAAGTTCAATAAAAAGCTTTTTTTGGGATTTTGGTTGGAATTTAAATATATTTATTTGGGAAAAATGACCTCTTTGAATATTGACTCTTCCACAAACATAGCTTATTTCTTCATTTATTGAAGCTTCCTTAATGTCATTCATTGTTTTTAGAATCATTTTCTATAAAACTCTCATAGATCTTTTTTGAAATTTATTTCTAGGCATCTTAATCTTTTGCGAAGTATGTTACTGTTACATGAATACAGTTAATTTTTTGTTATTGTACTTACATTCAGCAACTTAAATGGCTGTAATATACCTTGTGACTTATTTGTAATATTTTTGGATTTTCTTTGTAGATGTCCCCCATATGTAGCGCTAAGTTTGTTTTACCTTTCTAATTCTTTTTCTTTCTTTCTTTTTTTTTTTTTTTTGAGACAGAGTCTCACTTTGTCACCTGAGTAGAATGCCCATGGTGTCATAGCTCACTGCAACTTCAAACTCTTGGGCACAAGTGATCCTCTTGTCTCAGACTCCTGAGTAGGTGAGACTACAGGTGCCTGCCAAAACGCCTAGCTATTTTTAGAGATGCGGTCTCACTCTTGCTCAGGCAATCCTGTCTCAGGTTCCCAGAGAGCTAGGTTGTTTTTTTAGAGACAGAAGAAAAAAACCTCACTTTATTGCCCTTAGTAGAGTCCTATGGCATCACAGCTCACAGCAGCCTCCAACTCCTGGGCTTAGGTGATTCTCTTGCCTCAGCCTCCCAAGTAGCTGGGACTACAAGCGCCCACCACAATGCCTGGCTATTTTTTTGTTTTGCAGCTTGGCCGGGGTAGTTTAGAACCTGCCACTCTCAGTATATGGGGCTGGTGCCCTACCCATGTAGCCATAGGTGCCACCCACCTTTCTTAATTTTTTTTTTCCCCCCACAGTTTGGCTGGGATCAGGTTCGAACTCTCCACCCTCAGTATATGGGGTTGGCGCCCTAGCCACTGAACCACCACTTAATCTTTAAAAAGAATTTTATCTTCTGCTGTTGAAATCCATAGTACAGTTTTGTGCAAACAGTATCTTTATGTTTTTCTGATATTTGCTATAATTTTTGATCTGCTGTTTATCTTATTAAAGAAATTGAATTTTATTGAATGTTTTCCTGCATTTTTTGAGATAAATATATGTTTTCTTGTAGAATTTGCAAATGTCATTACTTATTTTGATTTTTGTACTATCTTTGCATACTGAGAGTGAAACCAGCTTTGACTTGATAGGTTTTTTAATACATTGCGGGATTCACTTAAAAATGGTTTTTTGAAAAAAATTTTTTGCATATTTTCACTGGGTTCATAAGTGAGATTAGCTTGTGGTTTTCCTTTTTCTTCCTGTCTCTGTTCTTTTAAAAAATGTATATCTTAATGAAATGATAGTATACGTAGAGAAGGGTTCAGATTATAAGTGTACCTCAATATAGTTCCATCGAGTGGAAACACTTGTGTATCTAGAAGAAATAAAACATCTTGAGCCCCTGAAAGGCTCCCCGTGCTCTCTTCTAATCAGCACTTTCTCTCCCAGAGTAATTACTACTATAACTTCTAACACCTAAGTTTCAGTTTTACCTATTTTTAAAATTTTACATAAGTAAAACCATATTCTTGATGTAGTTTCTTTTGGCCAGCACTGTTATGATATTCACCCACTTTGTATTCATTCTGATTGCTGTATAGTTGTATACAATTTATTTATCCATTCTACTGTTGAACATTTGGGTAGTTTTAAATTTGGGGTTATTAAGAATAGCCCTTTTAGAAGCATTCTTGTATATCCTTAATAGTGAACATATATGTACATTTCTGTTTAGTATGTGCTTGGGAGTGGTTAATGGGTATGTGTATATTGAGCTGTAGTAGATACTACCATTTTTCCAAAGCAGTGTGCTTACCTTGTTTTGATTGCCAGACTATACTAAACTCATAAAATAAATGTGGGAATCTTCTCTTAACAGTTTATTTAAGATTGAGATTATCTATTCTTTGAATGTTTATAGAATCCATCTGTAAAATCATGTGAGTCAGTTTTTTGTCATTGTGGTTCTTAGGTTTGAATTTTTTTTAATGCCTGGGAGGATTTTTAACTCTTCATTTTCTTTATTTAATGCTAATAATCTGTCTAGGTTTTTGATATCTACTTAAACTTGTTTTGATAAAATTTTATTTTCTAGGAAGTTATTTGTCTTAATTTTTCAAATTGATTGGGATAAGATTATTTGTAATTTTTTTTTATTCTCTGCTGTAGCTTAGTCGTGTTCATTTTGGAATTCATAATATTACTTATTTGTGCCTTTTCTCTTTTCTTCTTGGTTGGTCTTGTTAGAGGTTTGTTCCTGTTTCAGAAAATCAGCTTTCTTAAAAAAATCAAAAAGAACTATTATTGTTATTTTTTGAGATAATGTCTTGCTCTGTTATCTAGGCTGGAGTGCAGTGAGGGGATCATAGCTCCAGCAGTCTTTCCTCATAAGTAGCTGAAGTATAGGTGTACGCCGCTACAGCTGGGGAGTTGTTTAAATATTTTGTGGAAATGGGTCTTAACTACGTCACCCAGGCTGATTTTTGAACTCTTGCCCTCAAGCCTCCCAATTCAGTCTTCCAAAATGCTGGGATTACATGTGTGAGCCATTGCATCTAGCCAACACTTCGTTTTGTTAATGCTCTTAATTGCATTTTTGCTATTTAAAAATTTTTGTTCTTTTTATTTTCTTACTGCGTGTTGAGTTTATTTTTCTTTTTTATTATCTTTATTTGATACTTAGCACATTCATTTTCAGTCATTTTTAAAAATAGATACATTTAAAGTGTCCATTTCTTTTTTTTAGGTTCTACTTAAGCTGCATCATCCAAGTATTGATACGTAGCATCTTTATTATTGTTCAGCTCTAGATATTAAAACAGTTTTTTGACTAGTGTTTTAAAATGTATCAATTTAAAAAAAGATTTATTTATTGATTTTTTTTTTTTTTTGAGGCAGATTCTCACCATCACCCTGGGTAAAGTGTCATAGTGTCATAGCTCACAGCAACCTCAAACTTTTGGGCTTAAGTAATCCTCTTGCCTCAGCCCCCTGAGTATTTGAGATTACAGGCATCCACCAGTACACCCAACTAGCTTTTCTATTTTTAGTACAAATGTGGTCTCACTCTTGTTTAGACTGGTTTTGATGAACTCGTGAGGTCAAGCAATCTACCCACCTCAGCTTCCCAAAATGCTAAGATTACAGGTGTGAGCCACTGCACCTGGCCTATTTATCTTTTTTGAGACCAAGTCTCACACTGTCACCCTGGTAGAATGCAGTGGTATCATCGTAGCTCACTGCAACCTCAAATTCCTGGGCTCAAAGCAATCCTCCTGCCTCAACTTCCTGAATAGCTGGGACTACAGGCCTGCCCTACAACACCCTGCCAAGTCTTCCAGTTTTAGTAGAGCTGAAGTATTGCTTTTGTTCAGGCTGGCCTAGAACTCTTGTGCTCAAGCAGTCCTCCCACCTTGGCCTCCCAGAGTGCTAGAAGTATAGGAATAAGCCACCACACCGGATCTAAAAAGTGTTTTTTTTTTTTGTTATTGTTGTTCAGCAGGCCTAGGCTGGGTTGGAACCCGCCACCCCTGGTGCATGGGGCTGGCGCTCTAACCATTGAGCTGTGGGTGCCCAGCCTAAAAAAATATTTTTTAAATAAACTGTTTCTAACTTAATTCCTCTGTGATCAGAGCATAGTTATTAATATAAGTTATTAATTATTTAGTATTTGTTGAGACTTTGTTGGCTAGGTTTGAGGTCATTTTAAAAAATAAATGTTTCATGTGTGCTTGAAAAGAATGTGTTGCCTGGATGTCGTGGATCATGCATGTAATTTTAGCACTCTGGGAGGCTGAGATGGGAGTATTGCTTAAACGCAGGAGTTCGAGACCAGCCTGAGGAAGAATGAGACTCTTTCTCTACCAAATAGAAAAAATAAATTAGGATGGCGCTATGGGTGGGTACCTGTAATCTCAGCTCCTAAAGAGGCTGAGATAGGAGGATCGCTTGAGCCCAGGAGTCTGCGCTTGCAGTGAGCTATTATAATACCATTGCACGCTAGCCTGGCAACACTTATTTCAAAAAAAAAAAGAACAAAAAAGAATGTGTTGTCTCTGTTTGTAAGGTGGTGCATGATTCTGCCTATGTCCATTGGATCAAGCTTTTTTATTTCATTGCTCAGATCTTACTAACTTTTAACAACTTGGTTTATTAATTATTCAAATATATATATATTTTATTAAATCTTACATTGGATTGGCCATTTCTTCTTGTAATTCAGTAATTTTTTGCTTTGAGGCTGTGCTATTGGAAATGTACAGATTTAAAATTTTCATGATTTTCAACCCACAACTAATTTTGAATTTTTCTTCTAGGTTCATGCTTTAAATATCCTTAGAGCCTTGTTCAGAGATACCCGTCTGGGAGAAAATATTATTCCTTATGTTGCTGATGGAGCTAAGGCTGCAATTCTGGGTTTTACATCCCCAATCTGGGCAGTAAGTGCCTTTGCTATTTATTTTCATTGACTTAATTATGTTTTTCAGTTGGTTTTAATAAACTAACTTTTCATTGGATGATAAAAAATATACATTGCTTTTTTTTTTTTTTTTTTTTGCTGTTTTTTTTTGGCCGGGGCTGGGTTTGAACCCACCACCTCCGGCTTATGGGGTCGGCACCCTGCTCCTTGAGCCATGGGCACCGCCCTGTACCTTGTATTTTATCAACAAGTTTCTCTAAAGGATAAATCCTGGATCAAGCTATATTTTGTGCTTATACTTTATCTCATTTGTTGGCTTACTAGCCATAACTCTTTGTTTTCTTACTTTAGTGATTATTTTATTTTTTGTAATCTTTAATTTATCACAGTCTGTCTTCAAATGATACTGTACCATTTACTTAAAGCATAAGAACATAATAATAGTGTACTTCTCATTCTTTCCTCCCAGTCTTTGATCTTTGTGTTGTTATTGTTACACATTTTACTTTTATGTATAAGTCCACATAATATTGTTATTATTTTTGTTTAAAAAGTTAATATATTTCTTTTTAATTTATCATGTTAAGCATTTTTGAGAGTATACAGTTTAGTAGCATCAAGTACCTTCACAACATTCATCACCATTATGCATTTTCAGAACTTTTTTTTTAAAACAGAGTCTCACTATATCGCCCTTGGTAGAGTGCTGTGGCATCAGCTCACAGCAACCTCAAACTCTTGGGCTTAAGTGATTCTCTTGCCTCAGGCTCCCAAGTAGCTGGGACTACAGGTGCTTGCCACACGCCTGGCTATTTTTTGTTGCAGATGCCATTATTGTTTAGCCGGCCTGGGCCAGGTTCAAACTTGCCAGCCTCGGTGTGTGTGGCTGGTGCAGTAACCACTGTACTATAGGCGCCGAGCCCATTTTCAGAACTTCTGATCGTTCCAACTAGTTTTGTACTCATTAAACACTAACCCTCCATCTTCTTTCTCCTCAGCCTGAGTAATCTCTGTTCTATTTTGTCTCCATGAATTTGCCTTTTCTAATACCTCCTATAAATGGAGTCATACAGTATTTGTTATTTTGTTGTTGGCTTATGCCATTTAATGTAGTGTCTTCAGGGTTCATTTACCTTGCAGCACCTATCAGAATTTCATTCCTTTTTATAAGGCTAAATAATACTCTATCGTATGTATGTAGTGCATTTTCTTTACCCATTTGTCTGTTGATTGACATTTAGCTTATTTCCACTTTTTTGGCGATTGGGAATAAATGGTGCAGTGATTATTGGTCTATAAGTTATCTGAATCTTTGTTTTCAGTTCTTTTGCATATATCATATGGTAATTCTTTAACTTTTTTTTTTTTGAGACAGAGTCTCACTTTGTCACCCTTGGTAGAGAGCTGTGGTGTCACAGCTCACAGCAACCTCTAGCTCTTGGGCTTAGGCAATTCTCTTGCCTCAGCCTCCTCAGTAGCTGGGACCACAGGCATCTGCCACAATACCTGGCTATTTTTTTTTTTTTTTTTTTTTTGCGGTTTTGGCTGGGGCTGGGTTCAAACCCATCACCCTTGGTATATGGGGCCAGTGCCCTACCCACTGAGCCACAGGTGCTGCCCTAGTTCTTTAAGTTTTTGAGGAACTAACAAACTGTTTTCCACAACAACAGCACCATTTTATACTCCTATCACCAATGCACATGGATTCCAGTTTCTTTACATCTTTCCAATAATTGTTATTTTTTGATTTTTTGATAATAGTCATCTTTAATGGGTGTGAGGTCATGCCTCATTCTGATTTTGATTTGTTTTTCTGTGATGATTAGTGATGCTGATCTGGAAGCAGGACAACTCTTGGTATCATAAATGTGTCTGCCTTTTGGATGCTGTGTGTTGAATGAGTGCTACAAATATACTCTGCCCAAACGAACATTCACAAAACATTAAGGTAGAGGAGATTGAATACACATTTTTCTTTTTCTCGCATTTTCTTTTGTGGTATGATCACCATTCAGAAAAACATTTTGATTCAAAACTTTAAAAGGTAGTTGGCAATATCTAGTACAGTTGTTGGATTTAAGAAAGTAAACTTTAGGGCGGCGCCTGTGGCTCAGTAAGTAGGGCGCCAGACCCATATGCCCAGGGTGGTAGGTTCGAACCCAGCCCCGGTCAAACTGCAACAAAAAATAGCCGGGCGTTGTGGTGGGTGCCTGTAGTCCCAGCTACTCGGGAGGCTGAGGCCAGAGAATTGCCTAAGCCCGAGAATTGGAGGTTGCCGTGAACTGTGACCCTATGACACTCTACCGAGGGTGGCAGAGTGAGACTCTATCTCTTAAAAAAAAAAAAAGAAAAGAAAGTAAACTTTAATTTTTTTTTCAATTCCTAGGAGAAACACAATGTCATTGTATTCAAGAATAAGGAGAATAAACTATGCTTGCAATGTGGCTTTAAGACAATAAAAGCCTGGTAAAGAAAGAGGAGAAAAGATGCTAGACTTTAGTGCTTTACCTGCATAGTGAAGTATTTACTAGAAAGGCAGGCTTTCCAATTAGTAAGCTGCACAAACCTTTTCATACCTGTGTGACAAATGGCTAATCGAGAGTCAGTATAGTGCAGTGGAGCCAAAGTCACACACTCCTAGTGTGAAGAAGAATCCTCAAGGTTACTAACTTTTGCCTGGAAAGTGTCTATCTTCCTATAAGAGATATACACATCTGGAATTCTGTCTAAGAGTAGTTATGCAACACAGTGTTTACCTTTTGCATTTACAAGAAGCAGAGCAATACCTGTGTATGGTCAGTAAAGTCAGAGAGGTAGGAGTGTGGCTTGACTATCAGGAAAACTAGAGATGCTAACACTGACTGCCAGAAGTATCAGTATTTTTCTTAAGCTATTAATTCCAGATTAACCAAGAAATATTTTTTATGAAAGCCTTTCAGAAAGTGAAACCTGGTGATTTTTCCAACTTTTTAGCAAAGACTTGAAAGTATCAGAAATGAATGATGATGAATTTTCTTTCATTTTTTTTATGTATGGGCTTTATCATATGTGCATAATACCCATATGTGCACATATTCACAAAAGGCTGCCTGATTTATGTAAGTGCTTATATTTTATTTCTAATTTTATAACTAATAATTTTATTTCTTGGGATCTTCCTTTTAACACTAATTATGAAGGAATCTTTTGTTTCTATTGAGTTTGCCTTGCTGGAGAAAATAAACATTATTGCTATAATGATCAGTCCTGTTACTTGAATTATGTTTCCTTCCTTATGAAAACACAATCTAAGATAGACCAAAATGAAAAGTTAATTTAATCAATGGATAAAAAGACGTCTTCTTTTACAAAAACATAGCTTTCTCTGTTAAAGGAAGAGAAATCCTGTAAATCCTGTAAATCTAAGGATTTTTGTCCTTAGGGGATATGAAATAGAATTGGATTTACAGAAACTTGCTTTGTGCCTCTCCTTTGAGGCATGTTTCTATGCCTAATGCTGGCTACATATGTACTTTTGACTAAAAACATGCATTTAAAATGAACTTAATTTTAATTTGCAGTAAAGGAACATTTTCCAGAAATGTTTATATTCAAGTTGTTTTTGCAGTTTCTCAATCTTTGGTATTGAGGCCATTGATCAGTCTTTGCCACCTAGTAACCATTTTTAAAATACAGGGAAAATACACATGTTATTGTGTAAACATAGTAGGCAGTAGGCATACCTACTATATTGTAGACAATGTATTAAGCACTAGAAATACAAGGATAAATAATCATAATAATGAATGACTTATTAAGTATTTTTCATGTACTTAGCATCACGTACATTACATTATCTTAGTCGATTCCATTATTCGGTAGCTTCTGTTATACTCCTCATTTTACTGATGAGGAAAATAAGGTTCAGAGAGGTGAAATAATTTTGCCTAAGGATATACAACTATTATCTGTGATTCCAACTATAGAGGCAAATTTTGGGTGTTACGAGAATACAGAGAAGGTACATTTTATTTACCTTGTATAATTTCGGCCCTGTTTTCTTAGAAAATAAACCCGAAGACCTAGGCTTTTGTTTTATTGAGCAGTTTAAGCACAAAGCAACAGGAAAGTAAGAAAAAAGTAGGTGAAGCAAGGAAAAAGGAGAAATATTACCAAGTGGGCCTTAAACCTTGCAGAAAAACTGAGCTGGTTATTGTATCTCAGGGTACATCTTCTAACCAGACCGTGGGAAACTACCACCTCTTTGAGCAGTCCAATCTCCAGTCTTACTGGTCAATGTGAAATGTGTCATTGGGGGATGTCATTATCATGTGAATACCTTCTAGAGTGTACTTAGACAAGCCCCAGTGATACAGCCCACTGTACACCTCGTTTAGAAACTCAGACCACATGTTACTGTACTGAAGACTGTAAGCAGTTGTAGCACAGTGGGAATTATTGTCCATCGTTGACAAATATTATTATGAGGCTCATAACTATATTTAGCAGCTATTCTCATTTCTCCATTTTCAACTTTACTACTACCTACTTTTTTTCTGTCTTTGCTCTCCTTTTTACTTGTCTTCTCCTTCATTTATCCTTCCCTAAAGGGACACGTTTTCATTGCCTTTTCCACTGTGAGTTTTTCAAAATACATTAGCCTTTTTTTTTTTGTAGAGACAGTCTTACTTTATCGCCCTCAGTAGAGTGCTGTGGTGTCACACTGCTCACAGCAACCTCCAACTTCTATGCTTAGGTGAGTCTCTTGCTTCAGCACCCCTGAGTAGCTGGGACCACAGGCACCTGCCACAACGGCCGGCTATTTTTTTGTTGCGGTTCGGCCTGGGCCAGGTTTGAACCCACCACCTTCAGTATATGGGGCCAACGCCCTAACCACGGAGCCATAGGCACCGCCCTAGATTAGCCCTTTTAATGCCTTTTTTCATTACTCACATTTGAGATGAGCTATCAATGATCGATATTAGCATTTATTAACAGTGGTTTAAGAGTTAATAATGTAGTTAGCCAAAACCTCTCTCA